CAACCTATATCCAGTGCCTCACATAATAAATAACTTACAGAAAAATCAGAAAACGTAGGCCCTCGGGGAAACGGGTCATAAACCAAATATAACAATTACATTATAAATATTAAATATGCAAATATTCCTAGTCCTATGGGTGTTTTGAAGGTACACCACAAACTGCATTCCAAGTTTGCAACAAACTAAAATGAATTCAAGAATGCAGAACATTTGAGAAAAACGAAAGTGGCTAAAACTAAATGTAGTGAACTCCAGAAACTTTGGAAATGACAACTCTCACCCTCATGAACAAGATGTACGAAGCTAGGCTTTTAACTACTGAGTAATGAACAGATTTAGAGATACGCACTTCATTGTCAAAGCACCAAGTTATATATAAGTAAATATTGAATATCAAGGAATTAAAGCAATGACCTGTAGTCCTCAATAGGAGTCAACGGATCAGGCCTTACAACTTCCAAGTCCAATTTGACTGCTTGAGCACTGGATTCTCTAGGATAATTTTTATAATTATAATACCCCAACACCTATATAAGAAAATGTTAAATTCTGTCGTCATGCAGCAAAGATATGCCAATAGAAACGAGCCAAGAATCTAAACATCTTTACCATCTTCCAAGGTGCATCCCTGCTTCTGTCATAGAGATGTAAATCTTGCACACAGACAGAAAGCTTTGTCACACTAATTTCGCCCTCAGGGTACATGCCACATTTAACATCCAACCCTGATAGCATAAGCTCTAGGCATTTATTTTTATCTCTACCTCGTAAACATGAATTGCACTTAGATTTTTTCCTTGGTTCAGACCAGTCAAGTCCACTATACATTCTCCATCTAAAATCAATATTCTTGAGAAGTATCTGCCCTTTTTCACTGTGGTCATCAGTAGCATTAGAACCAACAGGTTTTAACTTGTCTTGTGAGATGAGTGGTGCGTTCCCCGTTTGATCCGATTTTGATACATGATTTTCTACTATCAAAGGATTATCACGGTACCATCCCCCTTTTCCACATTCTATGTCTCTATTACCAACATCAAACTTAAGCATACTGTCATTGGTCGAGCAATTGCCTGCAGTTGATTTTGATGGCCGTTGGGGCTCAGGTGAATAGTAACTTTCGATAACTTGAGGAACATGAGGAAAACATGTTTTAGCTGTAGAAGTTTTTTCTTTGTTATTAGTACCTGATACACGCATCGACCTGTTAGATGGAATATTTGGAGAAGTAACATCAACAGCTGTTGATGTATAATTGTCACTCGACATACTACCATCTACCGCTAAACGAGATTGACTGCCATGATCAGCAGGTAATTTGGTGTCTCCTTTCGAGTTGAAAGCATTTTCAATAATCTCATCCAGCAGCCCCACATATACATGTTCATCAGAACTGACAGATAGTTTCTTTTCAGAACTCAATTTTGGGTTGAAAGCATTTTCAAGAATCTCATCCAGCAGCCCCACAGATGCATGTTCATCAGAATCGACAGACGGCTTCTTTTCAGAACTCGATTTCACAGAACTATTATCTGCCAGTTCATTAGAAGTGTTCTCATGCGTTTGTTGGACAGTGTTCCACCTCGACTGCAAATGTGCCTTGGCATCTTCCATATCCGGTGCATAAAGCTGCTGGAGTTGAGCAACTAAACGAGCAAGTGCAGCTGTTGTGTCTTGGCATGTATCCAGATTGATATGAGAGTCTGAACAGTCAATTTCCCAAAACATACCTTTAATTCTCAGAACGGCCTCCACAAGGGCTACCTGAGCTACTTTGACATAGCCATTCATTCTCAGGTGACTTGCATGATGACCATTATTATCATTTGAAGTGCTGGATGAATCACAAACAAGGACTCCAAGATCTTTCAGCTGGATGGTGTAATTGATGACTTCAGACTGATGGGCCACTGTATGATTAGAAAAGCTTAATGATGCTGCAGCTAGAAGACAGGCTACATATTGTTCACCTATTTCTTTGTTGACTTCAACTATGCCACTGCCCGGAACATCTGGAGGATCCCCACTAATCAGAGTCTTCCTATGCGGTTCATAGCTCAAAGCAACATCCACCAAGTCCAGATAGAAAGATCCTCTCCTCTCTGTGTCATCAGCAGAAGACTCAATCTGAACACCATCATTGCTTGACTCTACGTTCTCATGACAACTGAAAAATAAGCATATTGCACTAACCCAATCCATGCGCCCACCAGGTGCAATTAGAGTTCCACACCGGACAACAATGGATGTATAACTCTGAAACAACTGTGGATTCCTAAGATATAAGACAGTTGTACCAGCTGGGCCAAAAGACAGTGCATTAGCACCCTTCCCATCACCCCGTCTAACAGTTGAATTTCTACAGGCAATAAGAAGAAAATCTTGTGCCTTCTCATCTCTGCTAAGGATGGAACCCCATAGTTCACCTTCTCCATGGTTTAGCCAGAAAAAAGTTGCATCACTAACTCCGCCAACATTTGAGACAGACAGCAACTCGAACTTGTCAACTGTCAGTCTAAAATTGTTCCATGATCCTTCTAGTTCCTTCTGCATTGAAGGATTGATCTCTCCAGCTTCATTTAAGATAATGGAGATATTTAGTGAATCACAGTTTAGAAGGATGGATGCTTGAGATATATCACCAACTTTTAAAGAAAGAGGTTCAGATTTCATATGGTCAGATGTAGTGACAATGCCACAGATAGCATTTGATATGTCTTCCATGATCTGAATTACCAGTTTATAAGCATGATCATCAAGACTGATCCAAACATGTGAAAAATGCACATGCAGAAAAAATGCAGAACTCAGTATCAGCTCCTGACGAATATGAGAACTTATCTCCTGAGAATCTTCTCCAGTTCTCACAGAGGAATACTCAGAGCTCTTTCCAGCCACTTTGTTTCTACTATGATCTTGTGAAGAGGCCAAACTCCAAGCTCTACCAGCCATCCACGGACCCGTCACAAGACCCTCTTGACAAACCATAGTAATTCCAGCATGCTGATCACCTGTTTTATTAATACCGGAGAGAATCTTAACGGCGGAAGTCAGTCGCCTGCCTAATAAGCCACATTTATCAGCATCTTCTCTTGCAGTATCAATCAAGTATAGGTCAAAGTCTCCAATACCAAAATGGAAGGAAGTGGAAGATGCACAAGGATTACCCTTCAGAGAGCTTTTTGCTAGTAACGAACGAGCATCAGAAACACTCCCCTTACCAGATGGATAAAGTTCAAGAATAATGAACTTGTCCAAGGAGTTTGAATCACCGAAGTTGCCATGACAGTCCAAAGGACAGCACAGTATGACCCTAGCCCGTGGAAAGAGAACTTTTCCTTGCAAACTTACCCTTGAAGACACAGTTGTAATGTAAGTAGAATTGTCTCCTTGAAAACCATGAAGAAAGGACGGATCGTGCTGTTGCTTCATGACACCAGATAGAAATTCCTTGGCTGCATCCCCTTCAAAATAATTTTCAACACTTTTAAAAAGAGTCAGCAGCATGCTTACTAACTGAAAGTGAACCCACAAAACAAAAGGTGGCAGATTGATAGAAAATGATGTTGACTTCATTGTCTTCCCATCTAAATCCATGGAATTGATGCTACAATGACAGCTGCATGTACCAAAAGACTCCAACAGCACAACCTTCATTAGTCCATCCTCGTAATGTTGTTTGTTGTTATTAGCAGAAATTTCTGAATTATGATCCTGGACTGGAAAAGGAAATGGAGGCAGTGAGTCTTGGACTTCCCTCTGCAAATTGCCATTTAGAAGCAACTTTTCATCTGGATTGCTACTGCAAACAGGGAAACCAAAACCATCGAACTGGTCTCTACTGACGTGGTGCTCATCAACTTTAAAATATACAAGTGAGGCTTCGAAATTTGTCTTTTGAGGAAATATCTGTTGACTTTGACAAGAAGAATGAATTAATCGATGTAAATAAAAAAATATTAAGTTTGCATATATTAGATCAGAAAAATTGAACTTTACCTGCAAATTAAATAGTAAATTTTGGCACGTAGCTTCAAGATGGTGTATGGTCGGATTAATAGATTTAATATCAGCAATGGCTGACTGCTCCATATTCAGAGATGAAAAACAGCTCATGAAAGAATCAGGGCTCGGCCCATTAACATGTGCAGTGTCTATATTACTCATGTCGCGGCTTCCAAGAGCAGTTCCAGAAGAGTCTATGAAATGTCTCCCATTTTTCGTCAAATCATCAGAAGTATTTGGATTTTCATCATGGAAAGAAAGGGAAATGAGAACTTCCGCAATAGTAGCTTGTAGACTTGTCTCAACATTCTGTTGCTCTGAATAATGGTAAGAGTAAGAAATTGTATTTAATTTGTAAGAAAAATTCAATGTATAATCCCAATAAATCATAAGTCTAGAAAGACAAAGATGAGATCTGACACAAACACATGCAATGTTCGGATCTTATCCCAAAGGATAATCACATAAGAATATTCTGCATGGTTAGATCTATCCCCAAAGGATAATCAACAGTCATTTGAAAATTGCATATCCTCTTATATCCAAATAACACTGGAATCTGAAGCATAGTTTTTCCAGCCAGTCATTAAGCCAGAAAAATATGTCAAGTTGTGAGGTCATTTTTTTTAATTACCATTGCCTACATTACTCAATAATCATAAACTTATCGATCAGATGTTCTTCTGTGGACTGAGCCATGAAATCTAAAGCAGAAAACAAAGACTAGATGTGAAGGTGTAAAAAAAGATGGCCACAGAAGAATTGGACGCAATGAGATTATGAAACAGCAAAACCTGTATGATATGGTATTTGAAAGAAAACTCATGACGTAAAGCTCATGTGATGAATCTCACATTTCATTAACATAACTACACAGTTAGAAGCAAAAATATATGATAAAAAATAACTGCTGAAAGTGACATCCACTTGGAAAACGTTTGTCAGTTCTATATTTGAAGTCACCTGCACAATAGCCATGTGTAACTACAATAGCATATATCCAAACTCAGACACAGGATCTTAACCATCCTCTCTTTCAAATCTACTAATCTTGAGGAGTTCTCTTATAGGTAATATTAAAAAAATGGCACTTCCTGTCAGGTATAATGTTTCTGCTTCACAGAAACATGGGTAGAAGCTTCTTTAGCAAAGCTTTACAACCGAACATAAGTAGACTACACAGAGTTCTAACCATGGAGGCATTGTCTAGCCCCCAACTCTAAACTGTCTCCAAAAGCATCAAAAATATTTAAACAATTTAAAGGGATGAACTCCAGGATTACATGCACCATCTCCTGATTGCTCGCTAAACATACTACTAGAGCCCAACCTTCTATCATCATATCACCAGCATATTGTGAAGCAGTATAGAGCTAGAAAAAGATTCCAACCCAACATTGTAGCTCCAAACTCGGAATCTCCTTCATCCAAAGCAATTATTTACAAAGAGACTACTGCTCCTTAGAAGAAGTGGGAGAAGAGCCATTTGACATGTACTCTCCTTGATCATCTGTAGGGCATGTAGTGAATTGTGAATGTGTTGGCAATTAAAGTATACTAACTTTTTTGCCAACCAAGATGCTAGCCAGTGGGAGATTCTACCAACAAGTCCATGACAAGCAAGTCATGTGAAAACAAACTGATGAGCAAAGGTCATTTGTTTAGGAGGACCTATTGGGCAATGGGCAAGAATGGCCTCTATGAATAACAACAAGGTATCCTCTGCTGACGAAAAGGTCCATAGTTATTACCTAATATGTTTGTGGCAATTCATCCAACATTTCTTGGTATTGAGTAGAGATGTTTAGGACTTCGCGCTACAAAATAAACATATATAAAGGGAATAAACCAGAAAGTAGAGCCTAATGAAGGCTTGCCGATGTAGGTTCGCTCAGCTGAACCGGGCCCATATGCCCAGAACTTTTACATGGATAGGAACATGCTTTGATTTTACACAGATGAGAAGAAATTAATACAAGGTTCCTCTATATTTTTTATGTGCATGAAAAATGAAGCTTTTATATTTAAATTAGCAAAGCAAATACGATATTACATTATACCACAACAATTGTGAATATTTGTAATAGTAGCTTATACTGCACAATAGGGAGAACATTACTAGAAAGCATGAAATGAAAATTTTACCTATGGGAATATGCCCTGCTCCAGAAGCAAGATCGGATGCAACAGTTATCGCACTAAAAACAGAACAAGTCCAGTTCCATATGCTGCTGCTACCTCCTCGAGCACTCCTCATTCCATCAAAACATTCGAAAAACTGATCTATGCTGCAAAAATGAACAATTAAATTAATATCACATTCTAAAATTATATCAGGGAAGAAAAAAGAAGGTTAGGAGCAGTATCTGCAATTTTTATAGACTAAACAAACAAAGCTAGCAAGATCAACATAGAACCCACTAAAATAATTTAGATGGTCAAACTCTTAGAATATGTGAGTTTACATCTTTCCTTTAATGACCAATTGGATGAAGAGGACTGAACACATGAAAGAAATATTTGGAACATATAGAAGGGAAAAAGCACAAGGTTTTGCTACATGTTGCAGTGACATTAGCTAAAACCCAAAACAACTATCAAGATTCATTGACTTTGCTCCATGATAAAAATGAACTAAGAGGTGCTTGGCATGAAGTAAGAATGGATGAGGAGATGAAAATGCCACTGTCATGTCATATCTGAAATACTGAGGATTAAGCATGTCAAATGAGAGAAGTAAATGCTTTTATTGAAAGCTCATCATAACACTGGATGTCGCATTAATATGAATGCTTGGAAAATCATTTGAGCACGATTATTGAAGGCAAAATAAATAAATAAATAAACTAGAATGGTCCACAAATGGAATCAGTATATGTAATTCCTATTGTTATAAATAATGCTAGCAAGTAAAGTATACAGTCTGCTATAAAATAGTTAAGATGTTTAGAGTTTTATAACATGTAATATCCTTACCCTTCCAGCAATAGGCTGAAAGGATTTAAAACTACAATATCGAGCAGATGGCATGATGGTTCTCAAATGTATATCTAGAAAACAATATGAATATTTCGCATGAGCAGAAAGAAACTTGACAGTGAAATCAACATGCAAATACAACAAAGACATCAGAATAACAAAGTGTATAAAGAATTGTCATGCAACTAAATAATAGTTGTGCCAAAAGTAGAGAAATAACCTTGCCCCATAATCTTGTTCAAGCTCAGTTTCAACCTCCTCGTCGAGGGATAGAGGCACCCAGTTCTGAATCACATTTGTCTGACGAAATTGAGAATCTGACGATGCCTCCTCCATAACTGAAGAATATAAGCTCTTGAAAAAGTTCCCCTTGCTCGGACTGACTACATCAGAGCCTACTGTCGCAGGACGTGGTGAATGACTCCTTGAAGCTGCACCTAAATTCTTCACTGATTGCCATATGACGGCTATCCACTTTATGGTGCTGGGCTGCAATCGTAACTCAATAGGATCCAGGGAGAAATCAGCATCGACTTTCCTAACATCTAAAGACCCATTTTTCCATGGAATGCTAATATTCAACTTCCCTGAAAATCCACCATTATCCCCAGTCAAAAATATCACAGTACTATCCAATGGCAAGCTTTTCGTATGCCATTGACTAAAACTGGTCCCTAGAGTACTGTTATGCTGAAGACTTCCATCCACATCATCCATTTTAAGAAACTCTATAACAGCTCCATGAAACTTAACAAAATTCGTTAATTTAGCTATCCCCAGAAGGCAATCAGTCTTGGGGTCTTCAGAAACACAGGTTCCATATTCCATCTCTCCAATTCGAAGCACAAGGGATCGGTAAAAATCTGATGCTCTCTTCTCATCAATATTCGAAGAAGGATCAAACGCAACTATCAGATTCCTTAACCTCACATGAAAGCTGGTAAGAAACCACTTGACGATCTTTGCAATTGTTTTAACTCCCTCATGAACGTCTAAGGATACAGAGGACCCAGCACCACCCGGTACAGTTCCAGTGTCCAAATCGCTTTTATCTGTACTATCACTCATATTTTCTGCACTGGCAGCTGTAAAAGGAGCAAGCACGAGCTCCAACTCATCGACTTCAATTTGACAATTTTGCAGCTTCCATGGGATCTTAATCGATAATGAGCCAATTGATCCTTCTTTAACCATAACCGCTGACCCAGCCAACTGGAACACACACACAAACAAACAAAAACAACAAACTTCATCAGTGGGGGAAAAACAACACAGTTGCTGAAATTAATGAGAATTTACAAAAACTTAAGGAATTTAAAGTTAGTGAAAAATAGAAGAAAATTGCTAAAATTAACTGAGAATTTACAAAAACCTAGTGAATCTGGAAGTTAGTGAAAAATCAACCAAAATTGCTAAAATTGCTGGGAATTTACAAAAGCCCTTCTGAATTTAGAAGTTAGCTAAGAATCGATAAAATCGCTAAAATTTACCGGAAATTCAAAAAATATATCGAATTTAGAAATTAGTGCAAAATCACACAAAATTGGTAAAAATTACTGGAAATTTACCAAATCCTAGTGAATTTAAAAGGCAGCGAAAACGACTAAAATTTTCCAAAATCATCAGTAATTCAAAAAAAAAAAACCTAAGAACCTAGGGTTAAGGTTAGGACTAGGGTTCGTACCTTCTGGTTGAGGAAATCGACGTTGAGGGCGAGATCAGAGAGATGAATCGTTCCCTGGGTGATCTGCACATCAAGCTGATCGAGATCAATATCTCCAAGTATAAAATCCCCCAATTTCTTCTTCAATAGAAACTTGCAGACTCTCTTCACCGCCCATCGAGAGAACATGGCCTCAGCCGAGCGCGCGAAGCCCCAACGAGAGAACATCGCGAGATCGTCGTCTAGATCGAGATATCCAACGTCGATTACATGGAAAGAGAAAAATTAGGGTTTTGAGAGGGAAGGGGGATAAAAAGCAAAAGAAAGAAAAAGAATCTGAGGAAGAGAGAAACTTTACGGCTCTTTTCGCGAAAGCGTTTTGGGGAAAAAAGGTTGGGGGTGGGCCCCGCTCTCTAGTTGGGTGACCTCGGTCCCGGTCGGCTGATTTGTTTTATAGCGCGAAGCAATTACGAGAGCAAGATCAGATATTATTATGTTGGACAAATTGTGAAAACATACCCCTTTCTAAAAATATTCTTAAAAAAAAGATCAGTTTTCATTTTATTTTTCAAAAACTGCTCAGTTTTAGTTTGGTGTTTGAGAAAGAGGTTCCCGAATTTCACGGGAGTTGAACTCTCGTGAAGTTTTTTCATAACAAAATTTTATGGGAGTTTAACTCTCGTGAAGTTTGGGAACATTTTTTTACGAATATTTTCAAAACAGGTTTTTTTAAAAAAATATTTTTACAAATGGGTATGTTTTAAATTTTTGCCCTTATTACGTTGGAAGATCTGTTTTATGACTTTTATCTCATTAAGAAAAAAACGATTCTTATCCTTATTTTTAAATATTGAATTCCCAGAGGGAGCGGAAATTACGGTTGAGTATATGGTTGGTGCGGTGGATTTCTATAAATTTTGATGAAACCGAATCAAACCTTTCTGTTTTTGAAGCTGAACCGAACAAACTGAATACTAGTTCGGTTGCCTCGATTTGCTCCATTCAGTCTAGGCTTGGATTAGTCCAATTTAAACTCAAAAGAAAGGCTAATATCAGCCGGTGGGCTTAGAAATCGATAAAAGAATTACGCAAATTAATTGAAAATAGTAAATAATGTAACGAACAAAGGGAAAGCAATTTATGGACTAAATAAAAACAACAAAAGAAAGCACACCTACATGTAAGGACAAATTTTCAAAACCGCTCTGTTTTGAATTTTATTCCCAAAAAAAGACTCATTTCAAACTTAATTTCAAAAACAGACCCAGTTGGCTGAAACTGAGTCGGTTTTTGAAAAAAAAGTTTCCAAACTTCACGGGAGTTGAAGTCCCATGAAGTTTTTTATATAACAAAACTTCACGAGACTTCAACTCCCGTGAAGTTTGGGAATTTTTTTTTCAAAAAACGACCCAGTTTCAGCCCAACTGGGTCGGTTTTTGAAATTAAGTTTGAGGCGGGTCTTTTTTTGGGAATTTTTTGGCAAACAGATTGGTTTTGAAATTTTGTCCCTACATGTAAATTCTTGCAAGTCAAACCACCTTAAAATAAGAATTCAACTTGCTCTAAGTTTATAGTTACGTAACAATCTCGTTGCGCGATGATACAAGGAAGAGTTGGTGTTTAGGAGATGCTAAATTGTGAAAGACTTAGGATCAAACGTTAAGATATTAGGAACCTATATAAATATTATAACAAACACCCGCCATTTTTTAAACCTAACATAAATGTAGTGAGTTTGCTTGGAATCATAGTTTTCTTAGATGACAAAACACTTGTGCAAACTAATATATAAAATTAGCCAACCAAACATTCTCTACAAAAGATAATGTTAGATTCACATCAGCAATACATTATCAACATTCCGGTGAACCAAAAAAAGCCATTAATTCATACCCAGAAGATTATGGGAACTCAAAGATCTATCTCACACCCTCCATGTTAATAAACGGCAAGATTATTCATTTTCTAGAAGAATGCAAGGCAAGCACAAAAACAACTGCACCGAAAGAGCAGGGGTACAACAAAACAAAAGCCTGTTGATTCAAGAGTTAATTGCAGATAGACCCCCTGTACCATGACCTAATTGCGGATAGATCCCTTGTATCACTATTGTTGCAAATAGGCCCCAAGTGATTTTTTTTTTTAAATTTTTACTCTTATCCTCAGAGAGAGGGAAGAGAGAAATTGTTTTTTTGACAAATAGACCTTTTGAGAGTAAAAAACTGAGATGAAAATCCACTCAAGATGTCTATCCACAGCAATAGAATTGCAGGCGGTCTATCCGCACTTGGGCAGTAGTACAGGGGTTCTGTCTGCAATTAATCCTT